AGTGCCTGGCAGATGAAGGAGATTTCAGGAGCTTTTGACACTATATAACCCGCCCTTTTTGTATGCACCGTGGGCGGCTTTTCTATGTAATTGCAGCGTGGGGTGGGAGGGCGTGGGAGGTAGGGGTGGGTCCTGGAGGAGATGGGAGGGTGGGCCACCCAGCCTCACACCTTTATTGTTGTTGTTGTTGTTTGTTTTGTTTTTGTTTTGTTTTTTTTTACACTCGCTGCTCTCAATAAAGAAGCCTTTTTTACGACCTCCTGCTGATGCTCATTCCCTACCGTTGCCTATGAATGATGTCCCTTCTTTCCTTGCTTATCAGAAGGGGCCATGTGCCTTCCCAGAGTCTGTGGGGCTTGGGCAGGGATGACTGGCAGACACTGGTCCTTCTCTAGTTTGCAGAGCAGTTGAGTGTGGGCTTGGACGCGAGGCCAACTCCTGTTCACGTGACCCTGTGTTGCTGTCTGCCAATTAATGGCCTAGTACTCACTCAGGTGGGGAGCGTAAAAGTGTGAGGAGGGGACTAGTTAGACAGGATTGAAGGAGTTAATGACAGATTCAGGTCTCTGATTCCTTTTAAGAGTCTCAGAAGGTGATGGAGGAGACAGGACTGAGCAGAGATGTGCTTTGATGCTTCATGGACCCCAGGCTTTCAGCCCTCAACTGGATTAAATCCTGCCTCTTCGTTACCTGGACCTTGTATCATCAGTTCTACTCTACCTTATGGTAACTTCAGCATGGTCCCCTCCTAAAGAAATGAGTCCTGAACTCTGGACTTGCTCTAGTTCCTTCTGTTCCTGACCAAATTTCTCAATAATGAAAATAACAGCTATTATTTATTAAATACTTGCTCTGTACCAGTCACTTTGCTAAGCATTTAACATGCATTATCTCATTGAATTTCTGCGACTACACTATTAGCTGGATATTATTGTCCCCATTTCACAGATTAGGAAACTGAGGCTCAAGGAGGCCAGGTAATTTCCCCAAGGTGACACAATTAGTAAGTGAACCACTGTTGTTGATACACAGAGTGGTACATCCCTGGGGTGTGTTGAAGTGAAAGAAAAAACAAACAAACAAACCAAGAACAGTTTCTCTAGAGCAATATTTTTCAAACTATGGGTTGCAACAAGCATTAAAAAACATGAAACATAATAAAATGTATCACAGTATATTGTATACTTTAAAGGTAAGTATTGTTTTGCAAAATTTTGTTCTTCTGTTGGATATGTGTTTGTGTATATTGGGTTACATATTAGCTATTGGGGTGGTGCTGCTGCATAATAAGTCTTAGTCACTTATAACATTTATTTTTCTCACTCACAGATCTGAAAGTTGGTGACATTTGGCTGATCTTGACTGGACTTGGCTGAGTTCAGCTGGGCTTGGCACCTAGGTCTGGTTTGGGTCTACTCTGCCGGCCCCAGAGCATGCTCTCCTGCAGTAGCAGGACCACAAGAAGTCCAACCAGATCATGCCAGCACATTCAAAAGCTTTAGTCTATTAACACTTTTTCAGCCAAAGCAAGTCACGTGTCAAAACCCAACATCAGCACCACTAGGATGGGACTGCAAAGGATGTGGCTATCTAATTCCAACAGTGGGTGTGAAAATTGGGAACAATAATCGAATTCAGCCGAGGTTGCAATGTAAAAATGATTGCCTACTGTGGTGGTGGGGGCACTACTGTAGAAGGTCATTAATCACTAAGCCTCTTCTTACTCCCAGTCTTTTTGTCCAGTCTGCAGTGGCTCTCGCTGCTGGCCACATCTGCCTTTTCAAACTCTCCTCTCTTGCCTTTGGTGATGGTACACTGAATCCACCTTCTCTGACCAGGCCTTCTCCAGCCCTGATTGTGGCTTCCTTCCTCTGCCTGCCCCCAGGATGGCTGGATTCTGTCTTCTGGCCTTCCTCTCTCTATATTCTCAACCTCAGGAATCTCATCTTACCTCATGTGGCTTTAACTGGCCCTTTGGTGTGGACACTTCCCAAAGCATTTGCTCCAATTCCAGCCTCTACCTCAAGCTGTAGACTCACATTCCCCTTTCTCTACAGGATACCTCTCTCTACCTGTTTCCTTGGCCCCAAACTGAACTTACCTCTCTCCCAATCCTGTTCCTCCAGCCAAGTTCCCTGTTTCCGTTCGTGGTACCACTGTTTGGAGAATAGTCACCCTTACTTAGCATCTCGATCCATCATGAGCCCTGTTCTCTGCGCATCCCCTCCCTGTGCAGCCCGTCACCAAGATCCGCTTATGCTACCTCTGCCCTGTCTCTATTTTTGCTCAATTTTAAGGGAAAATTTGCATAAAAGTAATACTGACCATAGAAGAAGTCAAAAAGTCCAGACTTGTATAAAGCAAAGAACACCTTCCTCTAGTCCCCAGACCTTACTCTCTGGCCGTAAGCGCTATTAATGTTTGGAACATGGCTTTCCTGACTTTGCCTGGGCACACTGACTCGCAACCTTTCCATTTCCTCTAATACTGCCATCTCTATTGAGACCTCTTTTCTTCTGTGTGAAGTTAAGAATCCCCGAGTAAAGGTTAATTTCCAATGAAAACAATTTCAGAGTGTTAGTAATTTTGTGGGGGGAGAGGGTGATGGCAATTTTTTAAAAGCAATCTTAATTTTTCTTCTGATATTATTTGGGTGATAAAACCAGGAGAAAGAAAGGAATGTTGGGGTGGGAATGGTGTGGTATGAGGGAATTCTGATGCCCTTCTGGAGGCCCTTCACGGTCTGGGTGGACATGACAGGGGGCTACAGTGATTGAGGCCTTATCGGAGAAGCACCAAACTCACATTCCAGAGAGGCCAGGCCGGGGACTTATCTGAGCTCGGTGGGCTGTGCAGTCTGTAGTGAACCTGAGAGCAGATGCTTCTTCTGCGAGCCACATCATTCAACTCCGCTCCAGGCTATTGTGATCCTGTGGCCACACAGGCCCTGAGTTGCTAAAAATTCCAGTTTTTTGAGAGATGCCGGATATTCAGATGTTTATGTAAAACCTCCTGATTTTAAAATATGGTCCAAATAAGACGTATATATGAGCCAGTTTTTAATTTTAACTTTATCCACATCAATGGTTTTGGCACCTGAACCTGCAATAATCCAGTATGGTGTAAGGTCTCCCTTTGCCCTTTGGTGACAAAGGGCTGTGAAGATGAAGCCGTCCCTAGCAGGCAAAGGCGCTGTGGCAGTAACACTGGTGTGCAATGGCCCTGTGGTTGGGTGAAATCTGAGAGAGGGCAGCCTATGTGAAGGGAAGATGGGAGCCGTTCTCACCCCCGGGCACCCTTCTGGGTGGGTGTGACATACAGCTGTTGTTCTCTGGGATGCCACCGCTGCCGGTTGCCTCCCTGTGTGTCTAAACTCAACATCTCAAACCAAAAAGTCTTTAGAAGCCAGGCAGGCATGACCCCCCAAGGCTGTGGTTGTAAAACTGTGACTCAGACAAATCCCAAGCAACCGTTTGTGGCCCCTGAAGCCCTTCTGGAACCTATTTATCTATTTGACCTGTTCTTCCTCTTGAGCTAACGCGTTCCATATGTTTAACTACCTGTTCTGCAGAGTAAATTAGGAAAAGAAAAAAACCTCTTTGAAAAACTATTGGGAAATGGAGAAGAGGAGGGCTTTTAATTCCTGTATTTAGGGTGATGAACAAGCCCAGGTTTTTAATAAATGGGTGTATGTATGTGTATGTACATACACACATGTGCTAGCTCACAAATCACTTGAACATACTTTATTTCAGTATTTTACAAAATCTTTACATTGTGATTCAGTCAGAAATGCAGTTTGTCATCCAGTACACACACCCACTGAACCATATGAAATGGACAATATCCCACCCTCTGGACCTATAAAATGGCAATTTTATTTGGTTCAACCTAACATTTATGCAAACAAAGGTTTTATGCAACATTTGCTCTTGTTTTTTGTGATACCAATTAATTTATTATTTTAAATGCTGGTTGCAGTACACTAAATTGATTTCACTACCACTGTTACTAATGATTCACAACCAACCTCTTTATTTAAGCTTTTTTAAAAATAATTTCACATTTTAAAATTTCAATTTATTTTTTATTGGTTTTGGCAGGGGAGGTAATTAGGTTTTTATTTATTTTAGTGGACGTACTGGGGGATTGAACCCAGGACCTTGCTAGGCATGCACTCTAACACTGAGCTATACCCTTCCCCCTCCAAGGGCTTTATTTAATCTTCACAACTTTTAAGGCAGGAATCATCACCATCTCCCATCTTAAACACAAGAGGATGTTTATCCTGGGGATGAGGTGATTACCTCACTGACCACTTACTCAGACCACCACTGCGCTTTAACTCATTTAATCTTCATTAATAACTTCATGGGATAGGTACCAACAATGAGCAATGGGGAGTTTGGAGACGTCGAACACTTGTTTCCAGACTCCAGGTTAGGAAGAGGCAGCTTCCAGATTA